GTTTGTGGTGTGGGGGGGGGGTGGGGGGGGTTCGGGGGGGGGGTGTTGTCCTGGTTGGCTGCTCCAGAATCATAAACATTGTTTTTTTAATCCTGGTACTGATACTACTGTTGTCTTGCACATGCTTTTATATGTTGAAATCCACAACATATTCTGTTGACATATGTTTTGTTTTTTTCCTCTGCAATGTTTTAATAAGTGTACACTGACCTGAATCAGACATGTCAGCTCTTTTCCAATAGTTACCCATGAGCTTCCATGAACTAAATGAAAATCAGGAACTAAATGTGTAACTTTGAGCATTCTTGTTTGTGTTTCCACAATGGAGATGATTTTAAGGAATATTGTCGTCATAAATGTATCGTCACGAAACCTGCAGTCACACTGTTACGTCAGTGTAGACATAAGGCAGCTGTTCCTAACCTTTTTGAGCAATGCCTGCTTTCAACCCCTCATCAAAGAGCTCTTTTACATTCTCAGATTGTTTCCTTTGAATCATTTTAGATACCTGAAGACATTAAACCATCGAGGAAAAATAAAAAAAATACAAGTTAGAGAAACAGTAGTCTAACAGAATATATTTCTTTTCTCTCATCCTGTTAATCATCTCAGAACTGCTTCAGTTTATCTCAGGGCCTGTGCCGACTGCTGACCCCTCATAGGGACTCTAATCGTTTTGCGGGATCCACATGTCAAACCCTGTCCGTTGTGGAGACAGAAGTTAGACCGAGCCAGCCGACCCTGAACTCCCATCGGAGCACTGAGAGGTCTGCCAGCGGGCTCGCTGCTGGTTGGCCCAGACACTCGGGACAGCCATCAATATTTGACTTCATTGTTGTCCTTGTTGGATGCGAGCAAGTGTGCAAATTAATAGGGTTGAAATTTAGGTTCCTGTCTGAATGATTGTCCCAGTGTGACCCAGCGGGGCTTTGGTACTTTGGAGTAGCAAATAAAATGGTCAGCGGATATTTATAGCAAGCAGTACGGCAAATATATGGACATTTATTTTTAAAAAAGAAGGAAAGTATTTGTGACTTTAGAGAAATTAATTTGATAATATCATGGACCAGTTATTTTTTAATCAATTTATGATATATGACTGGGTCCAGGCTTCATACATGTACAATGCGTTGTTTTCTTTATATTGCTCTCTCCTTTCCGTTTACTTCTGTCCCTCCCCGTCCAGCCATCTTCCTGTGCCGCCCTCCATCTTTCCCACCGTCCCTCTAGAGTACCCAGCAACCACCAGAGCTGTGCTGCCAGTCGTTTGATTCTGCCCAGTCCAATTATAGAGGGCCTTAATTACCGAGCCTGTCAGCCTCCATCAGGAGAGCCATTCGTCATGCGGACCGGGCTGGACCGGACTGAGCTGGGCTGCTTAGGTTTAGTGTGGGGACACATATAACATTCATCATTTGTACTGGACTTATTCTCACATACAGACGCAAAAATTTAATTAGGGACACTTGGAGGTACATTGTGGAATTTTCCTTTAAAACAAAACGTTCTCAGTGTGCGTAAGACACGATGTCGGAACCATTTCCTACGTAAAAAACATCTGTCGAGACCATGTTTGAATAAAAGTTCAGATCTCATCACACACCAGCAGCCTGTATCAAACCTTGTTACCAATCTAGCTAGCCTAGCTTAGCATAACTTAGCCTAACAGCTAGAAAGAAATGCGCCAAACCAGCACCCGAAAGCACTCTAATTAACAAGTAAATTCTTGTTTGTATAATTTGTTCACAAACAGAAATTTTAAAATGACAATTTGTGGTTGTCGTCACACAGTGAGGTTTCCATACAACCAGAGCTATGGACACTGAAGGATTTGCTCGCTGATTGCTAAACTGTTGTTTCATCAAGAAATACAGCAATGATGTATATATGGATATATATTTATATTTTTTCTCTATGGTTTCCCTTGAAACCGTTTTTTTAATTAAAGATTTTTATAAAGGTCAAAATACTTAATATTTCATTTGTAGTATTTCATTCACAGAGGAGTATACGTACACAAGTATAAGCTTCATCATTTGTTAATGTTGTATGGACTATTTAATCATGGAATTACAGAATGACGTGCAGTATGGTGATTTATATTGTCATCGAGATATGAAATGACCTATATGGAGATTGATCTTCGCCCTATCACCCAGGCCTAATGTTGAGGTCTGGACTAATATTGGGACATTCTATCTTGCCCAGTGCATAGTGTTTGAAAACAACACCAAATGAATAATCACTAATCTGTTTTACTGTAAAAGTCGAGTCAGAGGCTGACTGGAATATATCTTGTTTTTAGTGAGATTTGATCTGACACACGACCCTCATGTTGGTCTGAGACTGATCATTTCATATCAAGATTGTACGTAAGGTCTGTTATAGTAAAGGCCTTCAGTGTAGGCCATTTAATCTCAGTCTATGATTTACTGTAAATAGGATCTGTGTTCCTCCATCTTTCCTCTGTTTGTGTGCTTTCTTCCTCCTCGTCCTCCTCTTCTCCTCGTCGTGTAACAAACAGCATGAAGGAGGTTATAATTGGGAGGTCCAGAGCTCTGCCAGGTGGAACCACTTGTATCTGAATACAAGCTCTCTCGCTCTCTCTCTCAAGATCTCTCTTGTAAATTGTATCTCGACCGCAGTCTTTCTCCAACTTTTGTCTCACATACACAGAGTGTATTTGTCGTGTCATTATTAACATGACACGACAAAACAACCATATTCAGTTTTATATCTCTGAGATTCTGCGCAGCTTTTCTTTTCACTGACAGTGTTGTCCTCTTAAGTCATCCACTGTCTATTCACTACAATACACTAAAATTCCTTGAATCGCACTTCAGGTTCTCATATTTCATCCTCACTAATTCAGACCCACATAGACTTTTAGCAGAGTGCTAAAATGCTTTATTGTTGTTGACCACGTCCTTTCTTCTGTTCTCCCCCCGTTCATCCCTCTCTCCTCACCCTCCAGGTGATCGATGGGAAACTGGCTCCCTTCCTGTCTAAGGTGATCAAGTTTGCCAGCTCCCACGTGTTCAGCTGCAGTTTGTGTCGAGAGAAAGGCTTCATCTGTGAGCTCTGCCACAACAGACAGGTCATCTACCCCTTCCAGGAGAACGCCACCAAGAGGTACACATCCTCAGATAATGTTTCTCTACAGAACAGTAGAACATTTACTTAGCCAAACAAGTCTGGGCTGCTCATTCATCATAGACATTCCATTATTTGATCTGAAAAGACTTGATTCAGTGGAAAAGGTTTAGACAAGACAGGATTTCAGTGAATTTGATCATTCAGAGATCTTTGTCAGGTTGTCAAATAAACATGAAAAAGCAGAAGAACTATTGTGTGTAGACACAACCACTGCTCCGAAGGACAGATCGAGTTTAAGTTCTTTATTGTCACATTCAACGATTAACAGCGAAGCAGTCGTTTGCAATGACATTTCTAATTAGAATTAAAGATACAAAAAGTGCAGCAACTACAATATAGGAATGCAATATAATACTGTAGTATAAAAGTGTACTTTTATTGTAAAATGTATAAACTGTGATGTAAACAGTTTATGCAGTACTGTAGTAAATGTGTATCCACACACATATACATATATACATATACACATACACACATACACACATACAGTATATATACATATAAACAGTATTGGAGCAGACAGAACCAGTGTACTAGACCATGTATATGCAGTACCAGTAAGTATATTATTGTATTACGGTATTATATTTATTTCCTTGTTTCTATACATTCATGAAGTGGCGTCAAACACCTTGAGGACCAGCACATCTGTAGCTCATGCTAAAACATTTTCATTTGGAGCGGACTACTCCTGGACCGAGTGTCAGCTCGTGTCTCTCCACTGTCTCTGCTGCCTCTAAAGTTTGCTTCATGTTCGGTCTACCTTGAGAAATGCCGTTCTGCAGAAGCTTCTGGAGAGATTCTTCAGAAGGTAATGAGTTGAATCAAGAACTCTTCTTCTTCTGAGAGTGCACCTAAAAGCAAAGCACCTGCATTACAAACGAAAAAATCTCTTGAGACTGACATGCTGAATGAACTCCTTTTATAATAAGCAAGCAGTAGAGAGCCATAGGGAAACTCTCAGGGGTGAGAGGACATAAAGTGTAGTAATGTCACTGTCTGTGCTACTAGCTCCATTTATTTCTGTTCCAGGCCCTCAGGTTGAGTATGCGTTTCTACATGCTGCGTACCTGAGTGTTTGCTCATGTTCTTCTGTCTTTGTGAGGACCAATTTAAGTTTGAGAGGAAAGACATTTTGGTCATTGCTGACTTTATCAAAGGGTTGTTTCCGGGACAATGGATCGGTTCATCCAAATGTTAGAAAACATACGTTATTTTTAAACTTTCCTTCAGTGGTACAAAGCACTGCAGATAAACATAACATTTTAAAAAATTCAACAGCAACGTCTCCTTGCAGAAACAATGTTCTTATTTCTCTATGTTCTCTATACAGTTTTCATAGTAACATTTAGACGTGACATACTATACTATGACATATTCTACTATTACTTTTTTTGGCATTAAAATGCTATGACTTCTTTTATGACATTTTAATGAAATAGTATACAATGAAACTAATGACCAAATTTTGCATGAATAGACGCCACTAAAGGAAAGAGATGAAACGTGTGAGTGAGTTGTCTCTCGGGGTATCTGCAGCTTGTTCCTCACACTGGTTGATGTGAGAGAGCTGTGTGTGGACACTCATTCCCGACATGGACAGTTAACAGAGTCCAGAGCCTCGTCACTTAAACTCATAGTGACGGACAGCAGAGAGATAAGAGCCGATCAGGACCGATTCCTACAAGAATCACACCGGCACACAGTCTGTGCTGTCACTCACACTCACACACCCACAGTGTGTTGAGTTGTGTTTTATGACTTGTGAAGGAGGTGTGAAGTCTTAACTGATAACAGCTCTACCTACTGTACTTACCGGAACTGAGTGGAGCTGTTGACTTAGTTACTCAGACTCCGTCGGTGCAGGAAATGAGCAATAACTGGATGTGATCAGCCTGCGGTACCATACTTAATGGATCATGTTCAGTTTGTGAGACACATGCAGGTTGTTGCATTAAAACAGTGATTAGTCCGTTTGTCTTTCACGTCATCATTTAGTTTTCATTTGGTGACTAAATATGTAATACATTGTCTCATAGTTTTCAAAGGTTACTTTATTTTGTTTTTGTCGTGAAAAAGGTAAGTCAACAAATATTTTCACTGACAAAATGAATGCTTGAAAGATTTTGCAAAATCAAAAACACGCTATCTAAATTCTGCTGACTTGTAAGTGGAAAGAAGTGTGTAGATGCATATATTTCTTTGTTAACGAAACTAACAATGCAATACGGAATTGTGACACACCGAAAATGTTCTACATAGCATCAAAGTTAGCAAAGGTTACTCTTCATTTAGTTTAAGTCTTGTTTTTGTTGTGAAAACAGTTTTGTCTACAAATCTTTTTCTTCATAGTTCAAAATGAACACTGGTATTAATCTGAAATTGTGTCACGACAAAAAACTAAGATTTGAAAAAGGGTCAAGAATATTGTTCTTCAAAATTTTTGTTAACAAAATTACAAGGGAGTAGTTTTTAAATACTCAAGGAATACTTCACCCCCAAAACGACCTAATTTTACCATGAATTCTTGTAGAGAACTTTGTTTTTCTCTCATGCCTCCACATTTAGGAGAATCCAAAAACTGACTAAAGTCTTGATGAATTGGAGTAAATGGGGTCAGCATTTAACATCATCAAAGCATCTGTTTACAAACTCTCACACAACTCCAGCAGTAGTTGTGGGGAAAAAAAGGTTACCAAATATTTTTTGAATTGAACACTGGTGTAATTTGGAACGCAGAAAATGTCTTTTAATTTCAGCATTCTCACTTGTAAGTGTTTTTTGTCAGGTGTAATGCAGAATTATGACATGCTGATGGCCGTCTCCCACAGACAGCTCGATGACTCACCTGTGTGTTCACCTTGGTGGTTGCAGGTGTGATGGCTGCGGCGCCGTGTTCCACGCAGAGTGTCGGCAGAAAGCGCAGCCGTGTCCTCGCTGTGTTCGCAGAGAGCTCCACATGAGGCCGTCCTCCTTCTGGTCACCTGATGACGACAGCCCCGGCTGCTTTCACCTGCCCTACCAAGACACCTGAGACACACACACAATTGAACAACTAGGGTGCTGCCAGGCCATGATGCTGGACAAAGTGCCTGCTTTTCTGAATCATGTGTCACCACAGGACAAATTCTGTGACAAGAGTTCAGCCTGCACCAAAACAATATCTCTCACCTTTTTGTTTCAGGTTTGTGTTTCTTATGTGTGTGTGTACCTGCTAGCACACACACGCACACACACACACACACCTGAGCTCAGCCCTCTTTGTGCGACAGTGAAGAGCAGGGAGAACACCACCTGAAGAACTGCTGCACCAGGCTTTACAGACTGAACTGCTTGTATTTTGTACTCAAACGTCACACGTCAAGGTCCGCCGTCTCCATCCTTTTACCACATCACTACTTTCACTTAATCCCAAATCACGGCTGATAAACTAGAGACATTCAAAGTAACAGTTGGAACATTTCGGTGGTTTATTTTAACCAACGTCTTTCAGCACAAGTTCAGTGACGAAACCATTAGAAGAATGGACAGAAGATGAATTATCAATTGATTAATAATTTATCTAACATGGAAAACATTCTCTGGTTCCAGCCTCTCAAATGTGAAGATTTGCTGTTTTCCTTTTAGTTTTTTTGTTTTTTGTTGGTCAAACAAAAGAAGCTCATTTTGGGAACATGTCATCCTTTTTTGTTTTGTCTTTGTTTACAGATTAAATGACTGAACATGAGTATTTCAGTATTAAACTGTCACACTGTAGTCTTAATAGGTGGCTGCAAAAAGTTTCCTTCTTTACAGAGAATATCAGTTGTTGTCTACTTTCATTAATGTCCATTGCTATGAAGGTAAATATTAAAGTATGGGTGCTAATATGAGCAATGGGACAGGTTTTGCTGGATGTAATAATTCCTCCTGTTCACAGTGGCATTTATAAAGATCCCTGTCTAAATGCAAGTGAATTCAAGGCTTTTAGCAGTCTCAGTCAAGTCAAGTGGTTATTTTCCAGTTACTGTCTGTTAAATATAAATCTTTGTGTAACTGTCCCTCCGCCTCAGCTCAGCAAAGAAACACTGTGCAGGGAACCAAAAAAGGGACTTGTGTAGAAAAAGGGCTGGAATATATCCGTCTACCTTGACAAATCAATCTAACTCGGCCTGAAGCCTCATATGAACTTTAAATAAAGTCTGAAATATACTTTTATACAGAACAGGGACTGTGGAGTTTTGTCCCCCATCACTCGCATTGAATTTTCAATAGTAGATGATCTTTTAAAGGCCGCTATGAACAGGAGGAATGATTACAGCAAGCAAAAACTTCACAATGCACATAAGGGTATGTGGGGATTATTTTAAGATGCACTTGAAAAAAATGTGAACCTGTCCTTTAATCAGTTATCAGAACATCAATAGAGGCTTCTCAAACCACCACTGCAGCAAAATCCGTTATTTCACCGTCCGTCTGTAAGTTAAGTCTGTTCCAGACTGTTACATTTGCTATAATATCGTTTAAAACACACAAAAAGGCTGTGTAAATATAAGAAATATATTTATTACAAATGCAACAATGCTTTTCCTATTTTCATGTAATGCTCCAGTAGACTCACAAGTACATTTAGATACTCGTGAATGTTTCTTCGTCTTGCATCACAATGAACTGAAGTTCTTTGGGTTTGGGACTGGTAGTTCGACAAAAGAGCAAAAAAAAACAACTTGATGGGCATTTTACTATTTTCTGAAGTTTTAGAGACCAAGAGATTCATCAAGGAAAAGTATCGATAATGAAAATAATAGCCCCAGTAAAGTTATTAATTACTAGTAATAATCAAGTGTATTTAGTCTTATTTTGTTGTGCTTCTGTGGATCAACAGCAGGAAACGGGTTGTGCTGCAGGGACGGTGTCAGAAGTTTCATTTGACGTTCTGATCATTTTCTCTCTCCAGCTTTGACAACGTGTCGTGAAATCTATGGTAACTGAACAAATCCAAACATATTTGATTCCATGTTGGGCTCATTTGGGATGTAACTGGAGCCAATAAATTGGGATGTTTTACTCAATAATATTAATAGTAGAAGTTATAAATAGCTGTGATTGAAGTATAGAAATCCATCTTTCATCAGATCTCATTTTACTTACACTGAGTTATTTAACTTGTACATGTGGAATGAATGATGATTTTTAAGTCACTCATTTTAAATCGGTGTTATTTTAATGTAAAACTGCAAACAGACTTGAATTTAGAAAGGGACTCTGTCAGTCTGTCTGAGCACATCTTCTTCCCTCCATCAGTCTTACTGTAAATTAACGGGGGCAATAATCTTTCACGTATCCTTTCGTTGTCGCCTCTTCCCTCCCCTCTTCCTCTGATTCTACTTCCTGTTGTGCTTTCTTTATGCAGACTCTATCACACATGATAGCAGCTTTAGCTTTTAGTATCTCTATGCAACCTAGATGGCCTTCAGAACTCACTGCTTTCATGTGTAAAGGTCCGGAAACACTTTACATTGATGCTGTGTTTCCATCCTGTTTTCAGGCTAATCTTACTGAACTGTTAGAAAAATCAACATTAGTCAGGTTTGAAGCTAATAAATCAGCTAACTGATGCCCAAAAATGAAAGGAAAACAGACATTTTTAGAAAACTCTGCAAATATTTGTTTCAGAATCTGTTTAAAGTTTTCGGTGGATTTCTAAAACTAATGTGGTTCATCCAACAAAGAGAATTTTTAAAGTCCGAAACAGTGAGTTTTTATTTTTCTACAACTCGAAACACATTGTTGCTCCAATCACAAATTGAAAACCTTTAGTAAATGCTGCTTCCATTGATCTTTGAAAGCTGCACTCCATGGTTTTGTTACAGCGAGTTGAATTTGTAAGAATTTCAAACGTAGCAGCTGTTTCTTCCTGCTACTTGTCTTTTCTGAGAAACTGCGTTCTCAGTGCCAACAGACGGGTTTTATCTTTATTTCAGTGTTGTTTCTTTTTGCTCATCTGTCTTCATCCTGTTTTTCCAAACTTGTTTGAGCCATAAAACATTTTAACTTTGAAGAGAATTCATGTGTGAATGAATAATCCACCGTAGTCGGCAGTATGTTTATGCGTGAATAGGTACTTTTGAGATCAAACCGACAAGTTATTCCTGTTTATGAAGCAGGTAGGGTACTGTAGACTAAAACTAAATAACCGAGTGTAGTTTCAAATGTGGCAGGAAAAGTGCACTGATGTGTCAGTTGATTACATTTCTTTTGTTTTCATTTACAGGTGGTATTAAAAATGTAATGTTTAAGTTATTGTTGACTGATTGTGCCTGCTGCATAAAAACCGATGGAAGGGTAGTAAACCCTTTGGTTGAAATTTGATTGATATTTTGACAGAATGTCAATGTTTTATTTTGGGTTATTTTAAATCATGTTCATTTTTGTACCACGGAGCCCGGCATGTTTTAGGGATTGTTACATTGTTATTTATTTATTTATTTATGCACAGATAAGAGTTCTTCACTGTCCTAACACAGAGCGCTAACCCGGCTGAACCAGACCGGTACAGCTCAATTTTAGACCCCAACCCAACTTGCAATCTGGCGCTATAGTTCAGCTTCACGTCGTCAATGTTACAATGCAACACGTGACAAACACAGAAGTGTCAGAAAATAAGCTCAAAGCTTTACGCCATACATTATTTCAGGCAGCAATACTATCACAGATGTATTAATGGGAGAGAAGTAATTGATTCAACATGTCTTTAAACAAACTGGTAGCTTGTGAAATATGTTGAAGCTAAAATATGAATCTAGATATATTCAGTTTTACCTCCAGACTGTTCTAGATAATCTGGATCAAATCTAAGCATGTTTAATTTTTAGTTTTGAAATATTGCTGATGTTTTCTAAGTGTGAATTGCCATTTACAGTTTGTTATACACATATTAAATCTAGACATCACATTAGACATTGTTAGGCTAATTTGTCAGTAATTGTTGGTTCACAAGGTACATCAAACTGAAGAAAATATATCGAACCATATCCAAATATAGTGGGACAAAATAAATACAGAATATTGATGCTTATTCATGAGTATGAGTTTTTAATTTATGCACAAATTACCCCAAATACCTGCTGGGCTCTGTAGTCTGCCTCTATGTAGTTACAGTAGCCGACTTGTAGACTTGTGCATCTGATGACTTTAAAACTTGTATTTATTTATTTGCTTGTTTTATGCAGTATGTTTGTCTGTTCATTCGTGCAGGTTTGTGTTTAGTTGTTTTTTTGTTTGACTGTCCTTCATACAATATTGCCAATTTCCATTTCCATGTCAGACAACCTGTTGTGAATTGTGTTTAATTTATTCCTGTTAAGCTCTGTTATCTTTTCGCTGTAGTGAAACCCAGTTTGACAAAACGATGAGTACATTAAAGTGTATTTACAGGTTGTCACACGACTGAAGATGTTTATGTTTATGTTGCAGGCACATTTCCATCATTGCAGTATGTTTTACTTGACGTGTTTGGAGAAGAATATATTGTACAGTATTTAAGTAGTAGAACAACTGGACGGAAATTCTTCTCTCTTTTGCACTTTTTAAGTTATTGTTCTTTTTTTTATCCTATTAATTGCAGCCAAACTTCTTATGCAAATACAGGGAGTTGATTTTCTGATTTAATCCTCCTGTCTGGTTTTGTTCAAATTTGTCCGCTAGCCACTGATGCCAATAAAGACAAACTTCTTAATAGTAAATGGTGTTTGAATCCTTTGTGGATAAATGTTCCTATTGTTTGCCTGACGACATTTGGGTTTGACTTCCTGCAGTTGACCAAACTGGCCAATCGCATCATTGCATCGGCCAGCTCTATGTAAACACTTGTGGAGCTAACATTAGCAGAGTACGTTAGCACATTGCTAACTAGCTTTACCACATCTATGCTACGCTAGCTACTGAAGGTGTACTGAATGTCTACACATTTCTTACCTCAGCAATATACTGAGCATATGAATTGACAGCAGACAAGTAAATTGGGCAACAGGAATGACTTGAGACGTTTTAATTCATGTTTGAGCCCTTTTTATTTTTTCCCCATAAAACTGGATTGTTATGAAGTCAAGCTGACAACCACTGCAATCCTCCGCAAAGGAACAGCATAACACAATCTTCGTCAGGACGTGGAAATTAACTTCAAAAAATAAAATGTGAACATCTACAATTGTACGGAAAACTCCATCTGCTGAAGAAGATCTTATGTTAGGATCAAAAGTTCTAGAAGAGCTAACCTTGTGGTGAGATTGTTTTGTCGATTGGAACAGACCAGACGCACCATTCCCAGGTAGACAAATCCCTACCGTAACTGAAAGAAAGCAAATTGCTGACCTCGACATTCACGGAACACTTCCTGCTTCACTTTGGCACCAATGTCAACCAGCAACGCTGAACTCAACATCTGGTCTTGTCGACATCCTCTGAGTTTACAGATCTGTAACTAAAGGAAAACCCTCCATTAGAATATCAGAGTATCACTGATGCACAGGTACGTTTAAAGGTCCCATGAAACAGGTCTCATTATTTCCTTGCTGTGAAGCATCTCCTGCTGAAAACAGGAGTTTGGGGCAGATCATTAAAACGGTGAGGGGTCAGCCTTAAGAAGCATGATGGCCGACTAGTTACGCAGAGAAAAGCAGTTTAGAACATGCAGAAAGGTGGGATTGTTTGAAATTTGAGATGGCTTTATTCACTAAAGATGAACTCTTGCTGAAGTTCAAGTCCCTTTCAGGGTTACTGGTGTTTATTAACACATGTGGACTGGTGTTTTTAGCAATGCTAGCAGCATGACTAGGTTTGGTTAGTCCAGATTGAAATATCTCCACAACTATTTAACGAATTCTGATGACGGCTTTGTTGACTTTGTAATGACTTTTGGTGCATTTGTGGTGGTGAATAAAAAGTCTCAACAACGACTACATTAATTGCTGTGAAGTTTGGTACACACATTAATGTCGCCCTCAGCATGAAATGGCATGACACTTTGGTGATCTTCTGACTTTTCTTCTAACGCCTCACAGAGCTGCTAGCATGCCAACATGGACATTCAAATAGAAGTCAAAACAATTTTTCATTCCACTGCAATTTCATGACAAGAAAAATAAACTGTATTTGCTGAAGAAGATTGTATGATATGATGGAAAGCTCCAGAACAGCTACTAAATAGACCTTTGTGGTGACATTGTTTTGTCAACTGCTGATTCCTTGGGGTCAAGGATGAACTTCCAAACTGGCTCAAACTTTGCTGAGATGATAAACGATAATGTGCCAGATTGCGGCTGGGTTGTCAGGTTATGAGCTCAGCCTCAAACCGAGCTGAGAGAAAGAAAAAAAAGAAATAACAGACTCATGTGAATAAAAGGTGCATGTAAACCTGCCTGAGTGAATATGCATATTGTCTGAGAGAGAGCAGGGGGCTCGGAGGCTGAATCCTTTGCCTGTGATGTATGTCGCAGCAGCGGGCAAATTGAAGCTGAGTGTCGACCACGCTTAATTGTCATCGCCAATTAGTGCATTGTGGGACGCCCACAATGGATCAACTGTAGCGAGTAGAACGAAGTCCTTTGTGCTTCTCCAATGGCCCGCGGGCCAGTCAAGACTCATTTAGGACCTGAACAACGACGGAGCAGAAATGCCAATGAAAATGAAAACAAAAGACAGTTTAAGGAGAAAAAGAGGACGGAGGAGAGAAAAAGAGAGAAGGAGGGTGGGGGTGGGGGGGTGGACAACGGTCACAGGGGAGTGAAGGACTGGGCCTCTGCTCTCCCAACATGAGAGGAGGGTGTATGGCTTTGACACACACACACAGTGCCCCCCCCTGACATTTAGCGAGCTGCTACACAAAAGCTGGCAGGGCCCCAGTGTTCCCAGTGACCCGGTTGTTCAGAGGCTCGTTTGGCCACGTCCAAGCTTTCAGCAGGTTTCAGCCGAGCAGATTGTTTGTGTGCTTTTGTCAATGTTAAAGGGTCGACACTGTTTGTTTTTTTCCCTTACTCAAATTGTATTAAAATGTGTTTGCAATTAAGCATTAAAGAAAACGTCTCACCATGCTTTAACACAGTGCAAATGAGGGAATGATTGAAGCAAAAAACAGGGTGTATTTGTTTTTAAGTTCGCAGTGCGGGGTCGTACCCACGAATTTTACAAATAGTGAGGCCATGCATCCAAATTCCCCCAGGAGAACCACAACAACCTAAAAAAGTTTGAGTAGCCACCAACCAAACTCTGTACAATTTTGGTAGTATATAAGAAAATCCCACAATTACATGTTTAATCTGTTCACTTACATGTTCTCCAGAAATATAAAACAAGTATTAATTGGTATTGAAAATAATCTATATTGCAGCCATAGTCACAGGCCATCATGTCAATACAACCAGAAAATAATCAGGTTTTTGCTTTTCCACTTTTTTGATTGTCTTAGGGACACAAGTGAGTTTATTATGGGCTTCATGATTTTAAAGGGAGCTTTATCCTGATTTCTGAAGCCCCAAATCCATGAGTAAGAACTAAATCAAAGGTTACTGGTTATGTAAATATACCTGTAGCATGTAGAGGAATATAAAAGTGACTGATTGGGCTTCAAATATTTTTTTACGGAAAGAACAGACCGGATTTAAACAGAACAGGGTTCACTTATCACTGCTGTCAACGTACTGTAGCTCCACCTGCTGAAAAATGAAACTTAAAGCGATAAACTAAAATCCATATAGAACTGATAACTGTGAATGATTAATGAGAGATTAAATCAACTACAATTACATTTGTCACATTGTTATCAACATAGAAAGTGTGCATGCGTGTGTGTGTGTGTGTGTGTGTGTGTGTGTGTGTGTGAGTGTGTGTGTGTGTGTGCGTGTGTGTGCAGCAGGACTGAGGCTTTGTGCAGACACCTGTATGAGCCGACAGGGAGGAGAAATGAAACCACAGAGGAACAGATGTTGTTTCAAAAAGGCTTTGACACATTACCACTCTAATATCTGAAGCTGATAGTAGTTTTTGTGCTGCTGTTAAAAGACGTGCATAAATATATATACACATTAGACTAAACTAACAAAAGATTAATGACTAAAATGAGACCAAATCATATAATATACATATTCGTCAAAAGACTTAAACTAAATCAAATCAGGTTCCAAAATTCTCCCTGACCCCATGTAGACTCGACATTCAATGATAAACTGAGAATGCACTTTGGAGTGGAGCTTCAACAACATGGACAAGAAGTCCTCAAGGGGACTATAATCAATAACATATCAATTGACCATAACTGTCCGTCCCACGACTTTACTGATTTGGTTTACTCTCACCACTCTCAGGAGCGTTGCTTACAGCGAACAAAGCTCTAAAAACTCACTGCATCCCACCTGCCCAGCAGCAGACAGACAAAGTCAGCGAACAGCTGGTGAGCATAGGGGTTAGCATTTAACAGACCTTGATGTTAGATTGTTTTGTCCAGAGACTGTAGCAGCGGCCACAAGTGTCATCTGTAATTTACATGATTACCAGTAACTATGTTCAGTTTTAGCATTAGCCACCGTGAGCTACTGTTACATATAGCAGCAAAGCGTAGCTGAGTGTAATGAATGGAGCAAGAGAGTGTTTCATCGCTTATGAATTCAACTTTTCACTTTGGAGAAGAAGACTGTGGTACTTTTTATTCTTCTAAGTAGTTTCACTTTTACCTGTCGGTCTGAGATGGGACGTGAACTGTAGCCTCTGGTGGGGAAGACCTCGACTTGGCACTATTTCACCTTGGCTGAAAAGATTAGGGTCCTTCTTCCTACAGCTGAGATAAGGGACGCAATAACACATTTTACTATACAGTATGTATGTTTTGTAAATCATGTGAACCAGCACATTAATAACAGTCAGATACCGTCTTTGTGACCTGTACTTGATGAAAATGACAATAAAGTTTGTTCTAAACAGATTTTTGCATTCAGAATTCTGAAACTCACAGCTCACCTCAATTACCCTCATTCGCAATAAATCACATGCGTGTCACTTAACGTTATGTGTTTAGATGTTTCGATGCGTTTTTCTTCCCTTCCAGACAACCGTAACCATTCACTTCACCATCACATTAAAATCAATTTGCAGAGACTTAATTAAACCAGACATAGATACATGTTAGAAGAAAAAAAAAAGAAGAAGTCTGACATAAGAGTAAAGTCACCGAACACAAAAACAGACTTGTTCAGTGTGACGGATGACTTCACTCGTACAAGTCTCTGCATGTTGATTTCCATGCTGCGCTGACATGAAAGTGACTGCCACTTAATCTACAGAATGCATTGGAAAATGAAATGTTCTGTAGTAAGGTTTGCATCTTTTGTAAGTAAATGGCCTCAAGGTGTGTGCGGACTACGCACAAAGAGAGGTTTAGAAGCAGAGAATCTATAATCAAATCATTAGAAAGCTGCGTGTGGACACGGATTTGTCTTCCCGTGTGTCCTTTCTGTCAACTCAAAAATAAAAACATGAGGGAAATACTCGGAGATTTGCTTAAGGAAGGGGTACTTTAGCCAAAGACAAGACCATGAGAGTGAAGAATAGAATTAAAAAACTGCAAAAACCCAAAGCTGACTACAAAGAGAGAAAAAAAGAGTAATGCTATCCTGCTAAAATCTACAGCCAACATTTGTACAGTTGTCAAAATTTACATGAATTTGATCACAAACTGTTTTTATCTTTATTTTCAAAAGTAAGAATTCACATTGAAAACCAGCATTAGCTGACCCATCGTCCTAAATGATTTTAATCTCATCTTAATCTTCCATCAAATTAAACAAAGTAGGTTTATTTTTTAACAAAATTAGTTTTTACTTGTTGCCCAGCATTGTGTGTGTGTGTGTGTGTGTGTGTGTGTGTGTGTGTGTGTGTGAGTGCTCTTATAGACTTGGGTTGTGAGGACATTTTCCAAGTGATTTATTTCTGGTGTTTTAGTCTCCTTCAAGTGTTTGTTTGGGATCAAATGAGAAGGTTAAGGTGACAGACGAGGTGAGACACCATGTCAACGTGGCTCCTCCCAGACAGAGACGCTCAAATATGTATGTGTATCTTGTAGTGACCTGATCAGGTCTCCTTGTGTTCCCACTGAAAGCTGGGAAAATCACCACAAGTACTCAGGTATGTGTGTATATGTGTGTATATGTGTGTGTGTGTGTGTGTGTGTGTGTGTGTGTGTGTGTGTGTGTGTGTACACATAGGAGATTGATGCCGTCTAGGCTTTACATATGAACTCCTCGCTGTTTGCTTTCATTTGTCAAAGTAACTTGAGTTAAGGTGAATCAGACTGAGAACGACTTGTTTTGGCTGATATGTTGAGCACACGCACACGCACACACACGCACACACACACACACACAAACACACCTTTTGAGACCTTTGTCCCCCAGAGAGCGTTGTGAACTTTGTCCTACGTGGGATATGGCTGTGTGGGTGTGTCTGTGTGTGTGTGTGTGTGAGCAGCGTAGAGAGCAGAGTCATACGATCAGTTATTGAGCACCACAGATTTTTACAATTGCTCTGGCAACTTTACTAAATCCCACCATGCCAGATTGTAAAAAAACTTTGACGACAAAGAACAAGGGTCCTCTTTAACCTCTGCAAAACAAAACATATGGGTTGGAATAGAGTATGTAGGCTTTGAATAAATAACTAATCATTAGCATTTAGTCCGCTATGGGTGTGCATGGTTACACATCCATTGCACGTGTTGCATTAAATGTGTCAGTCCTTCACGTCCTGCCGTCGTCGTTGGTGTAATCGGAGCCAACAGGAAATGGCAAAGAGTCCGTTGGCGGATGTTAATGACAAACTGAAGTCTGGGTGAGTGTATGTGAGCTAACTGCATATCAGTACTCCTCTATACATGAACCTGGGGATGTTTAGTGATGTTAAAAAGGAACACAAGAGCAAAAAGACAGAAGGACTGTAAAATAGAAAAGACCCAAGACAAAAGAAGGACTGTGATTACCAGCCTGCAGGCATGAGAAAGGGAAATGACTGTACATGTCAACAATATTGTGAATTATTTGAAATGCTATATAAATATGCCTGTCACTATTGTTTTGTGTGGTGTGTGTGTGTGTGTGTGTGTGTGTGTGTGCGAGTGTGGTAGTGTGGTCGGGGTGTCTGTGGGTGAAGAGACCTCATCCATCACCTTATACCTTCAGGCTCTCCAGGTAAAGTCCTACCTCCTAATGCAGGAAGTCATAAATACAACTCACTGGTGCGTTCACGTGCAGTCGGTGGGGCACAATTACGACATGGACCGTGTCAAAAGTAGTTTCTACACATGGGAATCTACGTGAAGTGTGTTTATTAATGACAAATCCAGATTAGGAACAATATTTCTCAGATTAGATATAAACACTGGAACAGGAAACAAACCGGGACACATTTGGAACGTTCACATTTGCAACTGTGAAATAGTTTGTACTGGAGATCAGAAGACGAACGGAATTACAGTGTTTAAAGTAATCAGATCTTTAATGTAAGTAAAAGTAGTAAATACCACTTTAGAAAAAATACTCTAAATCCTGCATATGGGCTATCTATTGGCTTTTTAATGTTGCAGTTAGTTGAGCTGGACCTCATTTTAACTATGGACTGCAAATAAATATTATTAATACTAGCACTAAAACAATTAGTTGATGAACTAATTAGTCAATTTGCAGAAAATGAACAGCCAAGTTTAGTAGTAGATAAATAATTTAAGTCAGCAAAAATTGTCAACATAACTTTAGACATGGAAACATAAAGTGTAAATACTTAATTGCAACTTCCTTCAAAGTTGTTGGTCATACGACCTTTGCAATAAAGTACATGTCATCTATTTAGTTACTTTCCTGCAGAATAAGCCTACAGTGACGAAGTAAATAAATCACTGCAGTAGAACTGCAATACAACTGTATCATCTGTTATTTTCATCTATTTCTTAATATAGTTTATTCTTTGAATTGCTTAAATTTTCCTAATTTTGTTATTTTATTCAACTTGATTTGTTTTCCTTTTCGTAGTGTCTTTAATTGCCATAATTTATACACAAACTTGCATATTGTTGGTAATCACTGAGGAGAAAAAATGTGTGGTCAGATATTAACAGTGTCTTTACTTTTATCTCAGAGCTGTTGATTTGTTTTGGTTTGGAGCATGTCATTATAAATCAAATCACTTTTGAGAAACTTAAGCCCTTACTCATTGAGCTTCTTTACACGTTTATAATTGTTCCTACTTTGCACTGCAACAGCTGAGATAAACTAAGTTCTATCTTATTCCTAAAATGTTTCCTTGCATGCAGGAAATGCTTATTTTCCTTTTCATACTGGCTACGCTTGAAATCTCCTCTGTGCGTTCACGGTCGAATATAACATTTCCGACAGCCCCTGAATGCAGCGTGTGTGTGATGAGGAGGTGCTGCAGCTCCAGGCGGACTTTATTCGGTCCTGGGGCTCAGTGAAGGCTGCAGCCGCACGCTGCTGCACTTGATCACACAGGACACGTTTGGATTTTTGTTTTTACCCTTGAAGGAGGCTTCGGATTATTCCTGTGTTTTATTTTGTTTTCCTTTAGAAGCAGCAGAGATGCCACCTGTGTAACTTTGAAAAGAAAAAAAACAAACACTACCGTGCTTGAAAGCTGTTCATGTTACTGAGGGAATAAACGTCAAGTGGATTTTACACACCGGGCTCCGGACGCAGAGACTGGAGATTGTTTTTCTTTTACGCTCACTTTCAAACATTCATTTGTTTTCTCACACTTCCTCGGACAGCTCACGATGCGACTTTTCCTGGCGCGCGTGCGACCCGTCGGGAAACACCGGCGCTGGTAAAAATGTTACAAGGTCGTTAAATTTATTGGAACGTGACCACCGGAGATGAACTTTCTCCGTAATGATTGCGGGAGCTCTGGTGAATGATTGACAGCAGAGGCTCGGTCTGGCGCTCTGTGGACCTTTACGGACAAACATAAACTGGATTCACCGCCAGGAGTTTCATTTATATAGTTGTAATCAAGAGGAAGAGAGAAGCAGAATGAAACTCTGGTCCTGATCCATCCAGCAGAAGAAAAAAAAGTTGTCTGGGATGAACTGAAGCTGCTTCACCCTCTATTTTGATTTTTTTTCTTGTTTTAATACTCTAAATTAATAATTCTAAAACATGTTCTGTATGGCATCTAATGTGCGGCACGCGCCGTGCAGACCGGTGTTCCCGCGGCTCCTCGTGCTGCTGCTGCTGTTCGTGTGTCCTGGTCTCACGTTCGGAGCCTCCAAGGATCTGGTGTGTGAGCCCATAACCGTGCCCATGTGCAGGGGCATCGGCTACAACCTGACCTACATGCCCAACCTGTTCAACCACGACACCCAGGAGGAGGTGGGGCTGGAGGTGCATCAGTTCTGGCCCCTGGTCCGGATCCGCTGCTCTCCGGACCTGCTCTTCTTCCTGTGCAGCATGTACACTCCCATCTGCCTGCCGGACTACCGCAAGCCGCTGCCGCCCTGCCGGTCCGTGTGTGAACGGGCCAAGCGCGGCTGCTCCCCTCTGATGAGCCAGTACGGCTTTGAGTGGCCCGAGAGGATGAGCTGTGAACAGCTGCCCCAGCTGGGCGACGAGACCCTGTGCATGGACCAGAACAGCAGCGAGGCCACCACCCTGGCTCCACCGTTCCCCAAGCCCACCCCGAAAGGCCGGACCAGACCCCCCAGCCCTCCTCAGTGCGACAGAGAGTGCCGCTGTCGAGACCCCCTGGTCCCCATCAAGAGGGAGTCCCATATTCTGTATGGCCAGGTCCAGACCGGCCCCCTCCCCAACTGCGCCCAGCCCTGCCACCAGCCCTACTTTTCGGCTGACGAACGCGCCTTCACCACCTTCTGGGTGGGACTCTGGTCGGTGCTGTGCTTCATCTCCACCTTGACCACCGTCGCCACCTTCCTCATTGACATGGAACGCTTCAAGTACCCGGAGAGGCCCATCATCTTCCTGGCTGCTTGCTACCTCTTCGTGTCCTTGGGTTACATCATCCGCCTGGTGGCGGGTCACGAGCGAGTGGCGTGCGGCGCCGGCGGCAGTGTTGGCAACGACCAGCTGCACATCCTCTACGACACCACCGGCCCCGCTCTCTGCACCCTCGTCTTCCTGCTGGTGTATTTCTTTGGCATGGCCAGCTCCATCTGGTGGGTGGTGCTGTCCTTCACCTGGTTCCTGGCCGCGGGGATGAAGTGGGGCAGCGAGGCCATCGCAGGCTACTCCCAGTACTTCCACCTCGCCGCCTGGCTCATCCCCAGCATCAAGACCATCGCGGTCCTGGCCCTCAGCTCGGTGGACGGGGACCCTGTGGCTGGAATCTGCTACGTGGGGAACCAGAGTCTGGAGAACCTGAGGGGATTCGTGCTCGCACCTCTCGTGGTGTACCTCTTCACCGGCTCACTTTTCTTACTCGCTGGCTTTGTCTCGCTCTTCCGCATCCGGAGCATCATCAAGCAAGGCGGCACCAAGACGGACAAACTGGAGCGGCTGATGATCCGCATTGGGCTCTTCACGGTGCTGTACACCGTCCCCGCCACCATTGTGGTGGCCTGCCTGGTCTACGAGCAGCACTACCGGCCCGGCTGGGAGCGAGCCCTTGCGTGCTCCTGCCCGTCGGAGCGCCAGCGCTCGGGCGTGGGCCCGGACTACGCCGTCTTCATGCTCAAGTACCTAATGTGCTTGGTGGTGGGCATCACCTCGGGGGTCTGGATTTGGTCAGGAAAAACCCTGGAGTCCTGGAGGAGGTTTGTGGCTCAATGTTGCCCCTGCTGGCCGCAGAAAGCCACCGCTCCACCCTCCATGTACAGTGAGGCCAGCACCGCTTTAACCGGACATACTGGGACCGGGCTGACATCGGGGATGTACCATAAAGCTGCTCCATCGCACATATGAACTGACTGGTGCGGTAAGAGTTACCTGAACTCAAGTATCCAAACATGGAGAAAGAATTTCAGCTCTCACAAAAAAACGGACGATTGTGACTGAATTTAAAAAACACGATGGAGCAGCGTAAAAAGAGAAACATTTATATGAACAACCTGGATAATTTAAGAAAGACAGAATATTTAAAAAGAGTCTGACTTTTGAGAAAAGGGACTCCCAACAGTTGAAACTGCTTCTCTAAGCAGTCGAGCTGATGCAGCTGACCAAACTTGACATTTACTAAAAAGAAAAAGTATAATAAACAATCGTCAAACCTAACAGAGTTACATGGATCCATGATGGAACCACACACGCTTCTTCCTATCGGTTTATCCTGAGCACTGAGAGACAAAAACATATTTATTTATGTACATATTGTATAAAATTGCTGTTAAAAGGTGTATTATGTGGTATGTGTAGTTTGTAACTAAGTGCAGGACACCAGAGAAACCAATCTGGTCCGATTTGAATTGTATGAACTTGTACATAAATATGCTGTTTCATGTCATGTTTGCGTGTGGTATCTGGTGTGTTTTATAACGTCAAACTGACACAGTGCTGATACGCCGTCTTTGTTTCGTTGTTTTTTTTCAGACTAGGTAATCAAAGTAAAAAGTAATCCAGTCTTTGTAGTGGATACCGTTGTGACCTCTAGGCTCCTGTGTTGGTTCGGTTCTGAACTAGTCGTGTTGGTGTTGTGTGGACCGACGGGCAGTGATCAGGTTAAACTGCGGGATGAAACTGAACTTGGCCTCTACCCCCATCTGCTGGTTGAAGGTGGAGGTGCCCGCTTTATGTTCTCCACATCAGGGACTCCCCCTGACGGGTCAACATTAGACAACAGACCCTCAGTCCCCATAAGTCCCATCCTCACTCAGACTTACAGAAAAATAGCAGCTACAATGAAATCTTCTATTGGAATAGTAACTTTTTATGATTTGTGTTTTGACAATGCTGCTGTGGACTCCCCGATACCAACTGAAGGACCTCTAAAATGTCCCAAGACCTCACTTTGTCAACCATTACTGATATTTTTCTAGTGATTTCATGCCATGGACATGGACAGATTTTGCAGTCACACTGATGTTTTTAAATAATTAGTCGATTATAAGACATCTCCTTGGTGACAGGCATTTCCACAAGCAAGACGAAAAACAGACGTATTATTTGTACTCATTTTGTCGCTACTGTACGTTCTTTTATTGGAACAATTTGACTTAAATGTTTGCAACTTGAAACCAAGTATTCCTCTTACTTGATTAGTTGGAAACCGTGCACACATTTTTAGTAATTAATTGATGAAAAGTACTAATTGATAATCAATTAAAATCTAAAGAGGAAGAAACGCAAAATATCTAACATATTTAAGTTCAATATTGTAGAGGTCAGTTTTTTTTTGCTGGGGGTAATGGGCTTCCATAGGTCTGGGGTCTATTTGAGAAAAAATATCGGTTTTCAAAGTGGACCTTAAACATTTGTCATTATTTTTGATAACTTAGCATCAACAAGCACTTTTGGAAGATGCTTTTCTTTTCTTTTTAAATCGCAATTGACTGCATTAACACTATTTACTACTATCTATTATGTAAATCTGTCCAGAGGTGTGTATGTATCAACATTCTGCAGAGCCAAATTTAAAGCAGGGGTCTGTGGTCGAATGTGGACGACCTGTTTTCAGGAGCACTGACAACATAAAGTGAAGGAACCTCCGTCTCCTCTCAGAGGGCACATCTTGTGTTTCTTTTCGGAGTTCAAAAGTACAAACTAACGAACTATAAAAAAAGAAAGCTTTGTGCAAAAAGTCCCCACATCAGAAGACAGTATTTAAACGTCTGACACGTGGTGCAAATTAAGCGTTTGTTGTTTTCTGCGAGTGTCGGTGATGTTTTCATTCAATGCTGTTGGCCAGTTGTGTTGTTAAACTGCTGCGTGTCCACGTGCTAGATGATATCTCTAATTTATTAGGCTGATTTGTGCGAGTGAACGTGATTGTACGAGTGATGATGAATGCCGGCAAGTGTTGGTAAAAACTGACATTTAGCTTTTCTTTTTCTTTTTTGTCGACGTGTAAATCTGCTCTCTTATTGAAAGAGTTCCTGAAAGGATATGAAAAAAATATTGTAGATTATGATTCATATTGTGGAATTAAAACTGAGTTGATCTCGAGTTTGCAGCACCTCTGTGTGTTTCTCTATATTTGGCGTGACATGTTGCTTTTTTAAGGTTTCAATTTATGAGCACAAGTTAGTTTTTCGTTTTTTCAATGGTTCAAGTGTGCAAGAACGCGGATGTGCGGACCAGTCGCTCACTGTATTGGAACATTGGAATTTGTGCTAATATTCTACCAGAAGAAATTAATAGTTGGCGCCGTCCTCCATCTTTAAACCAAAGCCTGACAGTCACATCACAAACCAGAATACAATGAAACAACAAGACATTTGTGAATCATCAATGACAGACCTATGACAGATAATTAGATCTCACAGTATGTGTATGTCATGGTTTTGGCTAATCCTGCTAATTAAATACTTTCCAAATCACGGCACATCATCACATTGATGCAAAAAAAATAAATCTAATTAAAGCTGCGAGCAGCGATGAACGGGCCCTCGCAATCTGCAGCGCGTCGGGGGTGCCGCGGGACTCCGGCCTGCGCGTCCGAGAACGTCCGCGGACGGCGAGTCTGCGAGCGAGACGTTTTTAATCCCGCGTGGACCGCCTGATGCTGGAAATGATGCTTTGCAAATAGTCCGACGCTTCCTGTATCCGCTGCCTGGCGCTACAGAACGCGTGCAAACATGCATCATGTAGCTCTGTGTCAAATGTAAACCACATTGTGTAAAAGTAATGTAAATCGGAGGTGTTTGTCACAAAATGCAGATTTCCTTTCGCCAGCAGGTGGCGCTGTGAGTACAAGTGAAAATTAGCTTGTAGACATCCTCAGTCCATGAGTGTTATCAAGCATGAGAAGTTTGGGACCGTTTGGAACAAGTCCAGCTGAGTTACATCAGCTTTTTTCATGGGGAATCACATAAAGTAGCCGCCCGCTACGGCTAAGCCATTCCGTCAAACGTAAAGCTTTTGATAACTTTTAATCACAATGGTCTTGAGATTCGTTAAAGTATAGCGACTAGAAATAGGCCAAATTCTATGGAAAAATGACACATAAATGAAACTGGCTGACTTCCGGTATGGTTTAGAGCATGGTCCCAAGAGACTTATATTTAAGTCTCCATGGGATACATGTGCCTTCCACGTTTCATACATGTAGCTGAAACGTAGCGCTGGGGCTGCTCTTTTGAAATATTGTAGGGGGCGCTATCGAGGTAATTTAAAACGGTCAAGCCAAAAACCCATATACTCTGTCTTCCTATGACCTATGACACATGTACAAAGTTCCATGAGTTTTCGAGCATCTTTACCCACTAAACCATCAGCTTCCTTTTTCATGGCGAACGATGCGTCGCCACGGCAACAGCGTTCAACGAAAACGCACAATATTCTTTGCGTTTTATCATCAATGTCTTAAGGCTATCCTTACCAAATTTTAGACTCATCAGGTCACCTGGCTAGGAGGAATAATTAAAAGTATAAAATATGACATTTCCTTTAGCCAGTAGGCAGCGCTATGAATTATTGCATTTTTTTTCAATTGAAGTATGTTTAGGCTTGAAGTAGCATAATGTAAAAGAAGTTCTGTGCGTTGAGAAGTTATATGTATTGATATTAAGCCACACCCCTAAGAAGTTTATTGGTACATATCTTGTAAACAAAAAGAGATATCAAAAAGCTTGTGATAACTTTTGATGAGGTATATCCAGTAATGATCCACAGCAAATTTGATAGTAATGGGACTAAGCATGTAGGAGGAGTTCGCAGAAATGTGTTTTACACTAAATTCAATATGGCGGAAAATCTAAGTAGGCGGAGCTTAGGGGTCTGATTGGCTTTTTTGTAGCTCTAGCTCCAGTGGACATGCGTGTCAAATTTCAAGTCAATCGGACATACTGGCTGAGGGGCGTCGCCGGTCCGACTTGTAGGGGGCGCTAGAGAGCCATTTCTTAACACAGAAAGATGCATTCTTTTTCAGAATGCTATATTCACCAGGCCTGACAAGTCCCCAAAATTTGGTGAGTTTTCATGCATGGCAAGTCATCCAACCATGCGTACGTTTACCCAAACGGGTACAATATCAATAGGGCCTTCGCGGCCCGACGTTGTCGGTAGCTCGGGCCCTAATAAGGTCACATGGAACTCTGCAGCAGCACTCCAACTTGAAAGAGTTTCTGAAAGCAGTATTGGATTGATTCAAAAACTGTGTTTAGCTCCAACTTATTATATTCCTACATTAGCTGCATGATAGTTACACACAGACAATATATTTGATAAACTTCTGCCGTTGAATGGTTTTAAAATGGAGATCAGAACTTTGACGTGTGAGAATCGTAACTGCTTCCAACTGTAATGTCAGTAAATAAATAAAACCATTAGCTCAGGACACAAGCATGTAGCTACAGCGTAAAATGACGTTTGGCAGTCTCACATCACAGTCCTAACGATTGTGTCAAACAACAACAAAATTAAGAAAATTCAGAATTTCTGCACTCTTCATTTACTTTACTTAAAAAACATTAATAAATGACCAACAGTGTGTGTTTATTCGCATTCCGATTGGAGACGTTTGGTGAAGTTTGCATCATAAAAAAACACATTTTTAAATAAATAGCAGGTAGCATCCCGATAGCTAAAAAGGCTAATACTCAAAACAAATCCAGGGAAGTGTTGAGCCGAGAAATAAAGTGATCTTGAAAGATCCGGACGTAGCTCGCCTTATGATCAGCTTAATTAGAAGATGATAATAATAATAATAATGTCATCATCTGTCTGAAATAGCAGATAAGGCCATGAACCTTTTCTTCTGAAAAGACATTTCATGAAAGTAGAGTCACTATTTAATGATGTTTCCGGGCATGTGACTGGTGGCAGACTGGTTGTACTGTTACATCAGCTTTGTGCCAAGACAGCGCAGCGAGCCGCACACACAACAACACATTGATCATACACACAAACACAATTTGAAATGACCACGCCATGGCTTTGTTATACATGATTAGTGTTTATTTAAAATATTTCTTTTTTTTTTTCAATTAAAAACAAGACAACTTTCACAGCTAAGTAGCCTACATAGTAAGCAAAAAGGAGGGGAGTACCTGCCAGTCTCTTTCATCCCCTTCCATGTCTATGTAGTTTGTTCTGGCGCTCTGGTGGGGGGGGTCTGGGACAAGCACAGGCTCTTTGAGGCAGGGTACACATACTATACTGAGGGTGGACCGTGTGGACCGTGTGGACCGTGTGGACCCAACCTATATCTCGTCACCATAACTGCTACTGGGAGCCGCTCCGAAGCAATACTGATGCAGAATCTGTAGGTTGGCCCTTTTTTTTCTTTTTCTTTTTTGGACCTCCTGAAGTGGATCCGGAAAGCGAAACTGACCCCAGACCAGCACTCCGGATTCTCAGACTCGCTACAACAGCTGACTGAAGGTTGGACTCCTGTGGAATATGTATAGTTCAACACCCTGATATGCTGTGTGCTCCATCCAAATTCACGTGTCCATTTACTAGAATCATACAACACTGGAATTAATGGTAAACACGGTTTTTATACACTCTTAAAAAGTAGCTCTGATCTACAAGGAACAGCTTTTGCATCCGATTTGATCAGCCTATTAAATATATGTCTAATCCTATATTTTCTTATAGTCAATAAATCCCCCAAAAAAGAGACCAAAACCAACATTGAAGTGATCCGCTGTCTGTGTACTCACAGGCCTGATACTCCTTTGTTGAACAAAAACTGTTAAAATACACCAATGAGCCACATTGCTGCACTGGGCGACATGTTCCTTAATTCCTTTGAACACGCACTGTAGTAATAGTAGCAGTAGTGTACTGTACACTGTGTATTTAGAGTCGATCCTACATGCACCGGCCTGCTGCTGTAAATACTCACTAGAAGCACCAAATGTGTATTAATCCAGCGCTACAAATAGACCATCAAATGCACCATTTCCTCCCGTTTCATGCCTCTCAAAAAGCATTCAAGAATTAGATAGTGAGCCGTGTTGAATGTTTACGTCCTCAGTACAAACCAATGGGGCTGAGTGCCACAGTGAGGGTAGGGAAGCCAGAAAGTACAGCGAGACGGACCAACATTGTCGGTTTTGGTCATCTCATGGAATTTGGTGACAACTAAAACATAGAATAACGGTCAGGCTGCATGGGATAATTCAAATATTTTTGGGGAAAAATTACATTTGTCGGACAATACAAAGACAGGACCACCCCTCAGAGATAACGGCAGTAGAGCAACTCCCACGGGACACTTGCTCCGGGACATAAGGGACGAGAGAGAAATAAATAAGGGATTTGTGAAAACAATAGTTGTGTGGCGGAGCTTTCAATGGCGCCACTCTACGGTCGTAATGCTGAGGTCATACAGTAGCATTTCAAGCCTGAACCCTGTCCGTGCGGCTACGTTGACCCAGTGAGTTGGGGTCCTTTGCTGTGGGGGTGAGCTCCGGCCTATGACAGCACAGCGTTGGAGTGTCGTATACCTATCAGGTTGTCGGCGCTGATGGATCGTCTCATCGCTGATCGACTCAGGTCCTTATACTTGTCTTCGCATAGTCTTGAAATGGCCTGCAGGGACAAACACACAGAGACACAGTTACAGAGAAAGAAATTGAGCGTTGTGTTTTAATTCAAGAGCTCTGCACAACTAGAACATGATGAATCAGCTGACGAGCAGTGGGCCAGAAACAGGCAAATATTACAGGTGCATCATAACGAGACCAACCGGGATGAACTGAATTTAACTGATCGGCTTCTGCAGAGGGCTGCTCACCTCTAGTTTCTGGGCGCGTTGGTTGTCGAGAGGCTCCAGGGGGAAGCTGAGGTTGTTGTCATCAGCCAGCTGCCGCAGATCAAAGTAGTACTTGGCGTACACGCTGGCTGGCACGTTGATATTAAACTGGAGCAGCTCCAGGAAGTGGCGCTCCATCTCGTTCCTGGCGGGCGAAAAGAGACCTGAGGGTTATTCCACGCAGACAAAAACGTCCGACTAGAACTTTAGCCGACAGCTCTCGTCCATCGGACATTACACCGAGGAAGAACAGAGGGCTAAAAAGCAATGTCATCTTCTGTGGAGGTGTGTTGCCAGATCAATATGAGCGTTTGCTACATATTGTTATTCAAATGGCCAGCAGGTGCATTAAATGTTGTAAAATGTATTTTACAGTTTTATAGTATATAATAATACTCAATAAAACACTAAAGTAATCCCAATCCCATGAGATCCCGACGAAAACATTTTGCTTCATCTGCGGTTGCAGGTGATTTGATTTTTAGCAAAGAAATGGACACACACACACACTTTTTTTTCAGACTACCACCAACATCAGCCTTCCTCCCGCTCATCATCATCATCATCATCACTGCCATGAGAAAAGCTAAGGGAGGTGGTCGCCAAGGAGACGGCATCTAGGATGCTTTGTTGGTCAGCAAAGGTGGCGAGGAGCGAACGCGAGTGTGCGTGTGATGTCTGGTCTCCCGGGGCAACTAATGGAGTGGGCGCCGGGGGCCATTATGTAGAAGCAGTAAGAGCACTTGAGAAACCCTCCCCAGCCTCTCTCTCTCTCTCTCTCTCTCTCTCTCTCTCTCTCTCT